ATGTTTATGCAGTAGCATTTGTGAAGTAACAGTTCTTGGAACAACATTCATGATGAGTGCGAGGTTGCTCTAGCAGGTAAAATAATACGGGACGCACCTGGCACTGAAGGTGCTCAAATAGTACGGAGCATGGCATCCTTAAATGACCCACCCTACGCAATTAAAATCAGGGGCAGTGGAGCATGCCATGCAACCTGGTCTTGGATGAGTCAGTCGTTATTTTATAATTACACAGTGTAGCTAATTATTGTATCTCATGTAACTGATCTATAATTTAAAAATATTATTAATAACCATTGAGCTGAATATGTAATGGACCGCATCGAAATAAAACGCGCAATAAATAAACTTTCAACATCATTTGTATCTCAAGCCCCTAATTGAGGAGTAAGAGAAACCGACGCTTCCTTTGCAGCTCATCTGAACTGCGGACCGTTTAATAATGAACGACATTGTCTCGAGTACAATTATTACGTGCTCGATACCCATCTCTTTCATTTGGGATGTATCTTTCATTATTTCACTTCCATTTGTGGAAACGCTACATGGTGAAATTCACCTAGTTCAAACCGATTCCTTTACACTCAGTGCTTCCAGCTTGTAAATGAAGCGTAACTGGTGCATGAGCCCGCGGTTCCATTCTCGGATGAGGGAAATCGAATTTAACAAACACTCGAATGCGGGAGCGAAACCAGCCCGCCTGATAATGAAGGTGAAAACTACTACCAAGCTATCTTCTTCAAGCCTGCATAAATACCCTTGTCTGCATTTATTAGGAAAAAAGAAAAACTTGCAATTGTTGAAATGCTAATCTCTCTTCATGATTACAGACATGATTATTGACACTCTTCATCACATGCAGTTGATGGTGTGATGCTGATCTCTGTTTCAATGAACACTCACGAGTGCCTTATTTTGTATGAGCAGAATCAACAGTTACGCGGCAGCCATAGCGCGTAGTCTCTTGCTTCCTTCCCACACGGTAGTAATCAATTATCTACCTTGGAGGGAAGAAAGGATAATGATCCGCAGCCGGAACTCAACATCGCCCAGTCCTGAGTCTTACACTATACTGACTGAGCAACATCGGTTTGAAGTCAAGAGCAATGATATTGATTGAAAGGAATCTTTCCAGACACAAACGGCAGAAATGACCTTCCTTCAGAGGACTATTGGTATGACATTCGAAAAATTCACCACACCATTTACCGCGATACTCTTGATTGCGGGCATCTCCAACAAGTCGAGGGATCAAAATTGCTACGGTTTGAATATGCGATGAAGATGCCAGATGACAGACTAACAAAGGGTATGTTCCTGGCCACAAAGCAGCACTGAATCATAGCCTGCACCACATGAAGCAATCGAATAAAACACTTGGCCTTGGTTAAAAATTCGAACTCAGATCATTTAGTCCGCCTGTCAATTATTAAATATACTGCTATTTCTGAATGTACAGAGATGACTTGCATATAACTCGAGCTTAACGAAACGCAAATTGGACAAATCTTGGCACAATTCGCATAATTTTGGGAGCCGTAATTTTCATACGCACAGAGGGTCGAAACTTTCACCAATCACAATGAAACAGGCTTTTTAGTTGCTTCATTTAAATTAATTCAAAATAAACGATCATAACATTTAAGTGATCAATGTCGTTTGCACAGATCTACGAATAACATGAGGTTACAAATAAATTTATCGCTAGCACTCAACAGTCAACGCCGACCACCACTATTACGTCTCCGACGCAACAACGATGAAAAGACAAGCAAGTATTACCACAAGGTCATTTCACGCTTTAAAACGTCATGAATTATTCATATACGATGGTTTTTGATTCAAAGATTCCGTATGAATGAATTTGGATGTAAAGAAGTACAAATGTTGAAAACAACATACAACATAAACAAATGACGTGAGATTTGCCTTGAGTAGCGTGAAAGTGCAAAAAAATGCAGAACGCTCTCACAATCTGAGAGGCGGCTGATAAGAGAGGTTATATACAGCAGAAAAATACAAAAAGCAAGTAAGCACTGAGCCAGATTAAATTTTACTATTCCACATTCACAAACATTATACGTTTTTACAGTGACGTTCATTCGCTGGCAAATTATTCTATCGTAAACTACTGCCACGCACTGAACCCACTATGAAATAATGCACGAACCATGAACCGGCCGGCCGTCGATTTTATACCGAAAGGCACGTATTCAAAAGTCGATCTATCAAGATATCATGTCCGTGTTCAATAGTTTGTCCCAGTCGATGGCAATTTTGAACACGTCATTGTCGAGCCATTTCGCGTAATTGCGCTTGTAGCGGTCGGTGAACTGTACGGTGGTGCCCAAGACCGAGATGACGTTGTGATCGTAGGGTTCGAAATCTTTGGCACTAAACGATTCCAACTCGAAATTCGACCTGCTGAAGCCAGTCGCTCTGCTACCCCATTTGTACCGACGGTTGTTGAACTCTTCGATTTCGTTCATCAACGTCGACTCATCACTTTGATACTCCCACGGTTTCGCCTGAGTTTCGTTTCCGAACGCCCAGTCATCAATCAGCCTAGAACATGCGACGTTGAGACCATGAACATGGAAAACGTCAAAAGCACCGCTATCGCCGTACCAAAAGAAATTTACAATTGTGTTGCAAACTTGTCATAATCTCGAAAGTTTTCGAGTAATTATTAAATACATGTCGTAATTGCAAATAATTCCGTACCATGTTCAACTCTTCCAAAGTTTTTTTTAAGAGGTGACAGAAAAGGCAAAGAAGAAAATAAAACGAGTAATCAGAGGAAAAAAGTTGACGAAATATGGAAAAGAAAATTTGGACGGAAAAGATGAAGGAGAAAGACAGAGAAAAAGTATAAAAATTAAGGAGGAAATAGCAACGAGGGAAAGGGAAGAATAAAAGAAGTAAACTGAGGAAAAAAAGAACAAAGAACGGAAGAAGTAAGAAAATGAACAAAACATGACGTGAAACAATCGAGCAAGAAAAACTGGAAAAATGAAAAGAAAAAAAGAAAAACATAAAGCAGTAGACGAATAAAGGGAAAGGAAAGAGAGAAACAAGAAGAGGAAGAATGATGGACACCCAATGGAAAAAAAAGACGCACAAGAAGGAAAATCAGAGAAACAGAATAAAACGACAAAGGAGCAAAGCAGAGAGAAGATAAACCAATTAAGCAAATGTAAAAGAATGGTAAACGAGCCGTAGAAGAACAGATGAAGCAGACAAAACAAAATTAAGAATAAGGGGCTAAAGAAAAGAAGAAGCAGAAAAGAAAGTAAATGTAGATGATTAAGATGCGGAAAAAAGTAACTAATAGAGTGTGAAGTAAAGGTGGCAGAAGGGAACGAAAACTGCTAAACAGAGAGAAGGCGAAATAACCAAGAAAAGGCAGAGAAGAACAGAAAAATTAGCACAAGCATAGACGAAAAAAGAAGAAGCTTAAAAAGGGGAAGAAACAGCGGAAAAAAGCAACAAAGCAGAAAACAAATGAACCTGACGAGCAAATAAGTAAGGAGCAGAAGGAGAAGGCTCTGAGAAGAATAGCAAGAAGACAACAGATGGCCATCAGAAAAGAACGAAAACGAGAAAAAGAATAGGTGAAAAAAACGACGTGCTATAGAGTATTTGAGAAATGAGTCCCGGACAGTGCAGCTTTGCAGTTTGATCCGTTAGGCATGTCAGAGAAACCCAATATACCAGCGTGCTCTTAAAATCAACCGCACTGCATGAACCGAATTGCTCAGTCAGCAGTGTCAGGTCGGCCAGAGTCAAAAGATGGCGAGTTAAATCCAGGGTCACATAGCTTGCCTTTCCTCCTTTAAAGCAAGAAACATGAGTATACCTTTACAGAAAAAGAAACTGGAAGTGCTGTACTCTATATAATGGTAGACATATAGAGAAGCAAAGGATTCTTTGATGGTGGCATATAAATATAGATCAATGCCACAGCATAATCTCTATGAAAAAAGTGTGGTTTAAATAATGCCAGACATCGAACTGCAAGGACCAGCGTTCCATTGGTGAGAAACTTCAATTTTTCTGGGCTGGAATGAACCTTGACCCACTACAAAACTTTACTCTATGATCGCTAAATTTGAATGGTATGAGTACTACATTGAATACAGGTAAAAACAATGCCTTTTCTACTACCAATGTGCAAATGTGGTGTAATTTAATCAGAGGATTTGTCAATAAGCCATTAAAACATATCAGGTTAGCGAAGAGAGTTACGTGCCTGTGTCGAACCCTGCTGTATATCGCCGACATGATTTCCATGTTGGTTTTGCGCCACTGTCGGCCGAGGTACTTCGCTTGCATCTTGAGCAGCTTTAGAGCGTATAGTTGCAGTACGGCGTGTTTTACCTTCAGAGCTCGCTTGAGGATCGGCGCTGACTTAAACACCACGAGGGTCATCGTGCGAGCCGGTTTCCACTTGGTCAGCTTGTTCATGATACGCAGCAGATTAACGGCCGTTGACAGATTACGCCAGAGGAAGTAAGACGTTTCCGGAGATTGCGAAGCTTGCGGTGTAACGTCAGGCATCTCAGAAGCAATCTCTTGCCGATCCTCGTCCTTACTGTCATCTTCCTCATTTGCGCTGGGTTTGAAGAACAGGGCGTCCGGCCAACGGCCGTACTTTCCATGGTGCAGTACGGCGTTCGGAAACGCTAACTTCGACAGCTCGTTTTCGGATCGAACGTAGAGCAGAATATTCTGATCGAAGAACTTGAGGATCAGAGGGATGCAATTAGCGAACACCAAATTTTGACCGAGGTATTCAAACTGGTAGACGTGGTTTAGCTTGAAGTGTTTGAGCAATAACAACAACAAACTAGACACTGCCTTCGATATGATTTCCTTCTGGCGACTGATGTCCACGTTCAATTTAAGCATATCGGTCGAGTCGGCGTTGGCTGACGATGGCGGCGTATCGTCCACTCCACGAGGCAGCACCTCGTACATAAGATTGACGACATCCGTCTTCCCCTTCGACGATGGTGCGGCTGCCAACAAGATCTTCAGCAGGCCGATAACCAGCTGAGGTGTCAACCGTAACAGTGTCTGGTATAACGGTTCAGCGGCCATGTTCAAATTCAACTCATCCTTCTCCGTGAAGAATAACTTTCTCAATCGCGCCTCCTTCTCGATCTGCAACTCGCCCAGTGACGTGTAAACATGCTTCTGCAATGCAGCCAAACACTCAAGGATCGGCTCTGGTAGTCCGGCGGTGATCATCGACGCTGACTCTAGTCTGAAGCCAAAGTATTTGGCTCGCATTGACTCCAAGAACGCGTACACATCTGACTGACGAATCTTCGGTCGCCACGGCAACCCCTTCTTCGTCAGGTTCGTTTCCTTCGTCGCCTCTGGTCCAGTGGCCGAAGTAACCGAAACGACGCTGCTATTGTCAGCCTCGTAAACTTCGCTCTCGGCCGCTGAGACAGTCGTCGCGCCTCCAACATCCTGTGCATCATCGCTAGTTACGTCTTCGCCTAAAAATAAGAAAGAATTACTCGCACTAGTCAAGTTTTAGAATACCTTAAACTCTTACATCATTTTTTAAGAATGATGCATTTTTGACAACAATGATATAGTCCATGGTCAAAGCAACAGAGTTCGTATGCGCCTTCTGATTTAAAGCAGTATGTAAAAAACGATGGCAAAATTCGTTTAATAATAGTTCCACCGAACGGGCAATGGTCATAATCAGCGAATTAAAATATAATTTACAATTGGTATTCGACTCATTTAGTGGAACTTTGACTGCTAGCTGATTAGGCAATTAATATGGCTTTAATCACAGATGTCAAAATTGGTTACGCAACTAACAAGAACTCTTTCGGTCAGCTGTGTCGTAAAGCGTCTCGTAGATTATCAACGTCACTTTGTCCGGATGCTCCCAGCCATCGACATCGTCAAAGTTATGATTTTCGGGAACGTATCTTAAACGATCAATGCTGCAGTTCCAGATTGTATCGATACTGTTTCCCCTCTGATGATAAATGATGTCAGTTCAGAGAAAAGTTCGATATCCATTAAATGCGATATCTTATTAGAGATATTTTCAACCATGGAATCAGAAGACATATCAGTTTTAAACTATAACACGAAAAGGTTCAGTCAATTATGTTCGCTTATTTCCTGTGTCTGATTAAGGCCAGCAAAAACTTGCTGTCCGGAACGCTGGCTTGTTAAAAATTCATCGACAGACAGTATGATCTTGACCATAATCATTAAACCATAAGACTGAGTACGTGGTTCCCGTGTTAGCGGCCATCTTGAGAACAACCTAAAAAAGTTTATTCGTAGACAACGAAAACAACTGATCCCTTGGATGACTGACCAAAACCGACGTCTCGATCCGTGTCGAGAGGGGCTTCAATAAAAAGGGGACGATGCTGCTTGACCGACTATGGAAGTTCTTCTGTTGTTTGCATAGGCTGGTATGTGTGAAGTCAGAAGGCAAGCAGTTCGTCTGCGTCACTGCTTAAATACTTTGTTGAACACAACACTCGATCAATTCTCGAAGTTTGTGCTTTGTCACGGTTGACGTTGCCGCAAGACCCAATCTTCGATGCCTTCTTAAAGCAGCCATTCTCTTTCTCTGACCATCAGGAGGGAGCATTCTGTTGGGCCGTATGACCTACAGTCTTAAAGATTACAGTTATTTGAATTTAGTGAGGGCGATGCTTTGGTTTCCACAACGCGAATGCTTCATCATCATCTATCGCTGACGCTGGTATCATCCACCTTCTCTAAGTAGGTTACTATTCCTTGAGTGATGGTGTTTAATGCATCTGATACAGTTACACTGTAATTTGCAAACCCAACCTTGCAAACTGGTATTCTCTGAATTAATTAATAACCCATTAAAGTTAGAACTTTTATATACAACGCTAATGTTATATGTACCGCTAACTAATCTCTGTAGCATTATAAGATAATATTAAGGAGATTTATCGTTTAGAACATTATTTATTCACATGACTGGTGTTAAAAGCTGCATGCTTTAAAGTAACTTATGCTACGGTTGATGAAATTTAACGAATTTAAATGGATAATTATTGTTATCAAAAAAGGTTAAATAAATGTTTTATTTTTTTCCATAAGAAATCCGTTACTACATAGTTTCAGGACTCCGTGCATTAACAGACGGTTTATCAAAAAATTGAAAAACATTAAAGCCGCAGGAATCGATGAATTCCGCCCTGAAATCCTTGAAGTTTTAGGCGATCAAGGTATGCTGCTGAAACAAGTATCTGTCAAACTACAATGGCTATGGAGATAACATCAGTGGACTGATGAAGTGGGGTTGTAGTACAATGTTCAATAAGGGAAACCATATGAAGGGATCAAATTATCGGAGCATTACTTTCCTGAGCTTCCCGGGTAAAGTTTATGCCAAGGTTGTAGAGAAGAGGTGTTGCGAAACACAAGGGCAGTGTAGCTTTTGGTGTGGCTGAAAAGATATTTGCCCTACGCCAGATTATTGAGAAATCGTGGGAGTTCGCTCATCCGGTGTACTTGTGCTTTGTTCACCTAGAGAAAGCCTATGACCGGATCCCACGCACACTCTGTGGTCATACCTCTGAGCGTAAGGGATAGATGGCCAGCTGTTAAGAGCCATCCAATCACTGTATTCTGAAAGCAAGTGCTCCCTCAGAGTAAATCGCGTTAAGTCGAAGTCTTTCAACGTTAGCATTGGTCTCCGCGAAGGCTGTGTTCTGTCTCCTCTTCTGTTTATATTGTACATAGATAGAACAGTCAGGCCCAGCCAAAGCGATGACTGCATCAGTGTTGCAGATGTCAACACGAGGAGGCTGTTGCTAGAAGAATACTATATTTTGTTGGTATCTTCCGAAATTGATCTCCAGCGCTGTCTGAAACGATTCGCAGCTGACTGA